ACAAATCTCTGGGCGTTTGTATGTTTTATTATATTTTGTCTGTGTACATAAAAGTTAAAATCTGCTTTACTGTGATGTGTGGTTTAGTTTTTCGCATTTTCACACGTTGTAATGTTATGTTTCAAATCTTGCCAATTTGTTTACAATGACTGCATAGATATATGCATTTTCTGTTTTATAGAGCTCATTTAAAGTATGTTAGCAATGCTTTCTTAGTTTTATAATTAGTTAAAGTTTATTACAACTCTATGACCACTGGTTACCAAAACCAAATTGCTGGTAATAAAGCTAAAGTGATCCACATCCCGCTTCTTAAATTTTTCTCCTTACTAGGGTCATTTTCATGACTAACAATTAACTTCTCTGGCCATCAAAATTTTAGATTAGGCAGCACTTTACAAGTATCCCAGAGTGCTTTGGTTGAAACTAAAGTTCATCTCATTGCATTTTTCCAGCCTGCTACCAATATATCCTTTTCCAGATGAGGATTCACCCCATGACAAATGCAAACTTAGTTTCATAAAGAATTTCAAATACTACTTCATTATCTCACAGTAATTAAATACCATGTTGATCAAAACTCAAAAATAAAAATAATTGTTGAAATTTCTCATTGTTACCTCTAAGAATGTAGCTTGAGAAATTGAATAGTTTTGTGACCATGTTGAGCATGTCCATGCTAACTTTGTTTTGGAAATTTGAATGAAAGATGAAATATTAAGCTGCAACTGAGTTTCCATTTTGCCAAAAGCAATAAGTTTGTGCTTTCTTCATTATACCAATTTCAGACCTAAAGGTATTTTCTGTAGTTTTCCTTAACTGTTGAATTCAATAATGTAATACTGTACATCATTGTTTTCAAACCGAATCTAGCTGCAAGTTTCCCTTGTGTTCTGTCCTTTTGACATATATTTCTTCATCATACAATGCCATAAATTAAATGTAATAATTAATGTGAATTACTACTATTCCTGAATTTTTGTGAAGAAAGAGAATACTTTTACTCTGGCTATGTAGACATAGATCAACAGAAAGGATTTGTTCTTGAAGATAGCTGTATTAGTCTGGCTAATCAGCTCTAAGCATGATTTATTAGCCATTAAAGATGGTTTTTACAGCTTTAGAAAAATCATTCAGTTTATTTAAATGCACGAGTTTTGAAAAATTATGGTGTGCTAATAAAACATTTGTAAACTTGTTATGTTCTCTATGTGTTGATGGTGCTATTTTCTTTCTGTATAGAATTATTTGTTAATGTTTTTCCCTCAGTAACAAAAAAGTTGTTTTGCCATGCAGCATCCAAATTTTGTGATTTTGTTCCATATCATTTATGTAGTTAAATTTTTATTGCTCAGTAGATGTATTTGGAATGTTATTGTATGAAATGTTTATTTGTCATTGCTTTTTCAGTTATTGTTGATTCCATGCTAGACTGTTTATTTCCAAGTGTCTGTAATATTAAGTTGATTGTACTCAACCATTGTGTATACGAAATGCCAGTGGACTTAGAGTTGTAGATGTTGATCATTAGGAAGTACTATCTTGGTTCTCCCAATTACATGAACAATGCACAAAAAACACATTGGGTGTTATCCATTGTTTGGAGCCTGGGTAGTTAGTTTTCTTCCTTTTTAGTCCCAATTGGCAGCTTATATGTTGTTTGTATATATTTATCTTCAAAAGATATTTTCCAAGAAATTTTAATGTGAATTTATAAGACTTGAATGAGAAATCAACAGAGTATATATTGTGTAGACTAAGAAGTGAGAAAGAGAAAATTACCATGACCAGCTAAGTCTTGGGTATCATGTACATAACGTATGAGGATACCCACTTACTTTTACACATTTTTATCGTCCAAATTATTTAAGTACAACCCATGACAATCTGTCATAAGCTTTCTGTTCCAATTGGTTTTCATATCAATATAGTCTCTCGGCTGCATCATAGGGATAATAGGTGCCAAATCGAATTTTAGGTTTCAAAACTTCTGCGGTTTGTTTTTTATAAAGATTGACTCTTAGTTCTTACTGAAATATTATTTTACTTTAAGAGCAGCTTTAATTTTTTTTTTTGTTGAGTTAAAAATTTTAAGTACATAACAAGTAATAGTGGTGCCCTCAAACACGTCTGCTATAAGAATAATTTAATCTTCAGTCATCCAAGCTCTTCCTCATTGTTCTGTGAGCCACAAAGACTTTAAAAAAACTGATGATTATAACAATAAAAAAAAAACATCTTGTAGACCCAGTGGCATTTAATCACCTTTCCTCCTGACATAATAGTATTACATCCAATCCAAACAATATTGCCTGGTTTCTAATACATCTAGTTTAGGCAAAGGGAAATAAATCCATACTTATCACTTGGTCAATTCTCTTTTTCATGACAAACTTTCAAAAGTTCCACAAATGCTTTGCCTACAATCAGACTTTGTGAAATTGATTCTTTCATAACATCGTCAAATTCATGAAACTTAACCCTAGCGTTAGCTGAAAAATTGATTTCACGCACACTTCTTCGAAACACATGGTCATCAGGGGTTGATTCTTCCTTTCCTTCAACGACAGAGGAGAGCATGCTCAAAGGAGAGACTATTTCATTTCCAACAACTAAATTGAAATGACGTGGAGGTGCAGTACCTCTCATTTCAAAAACCTTTTGATTTACATCTGCAGAAAAGAGAAGGATATAGGAGAAATGAATTAATAAGGATATACCAAACTTATTAGGGAGTTTGGGAAGAGTAGTTAGAGTACCTTCAAAAGAATTCTTTGCACACAAAATACACATTACAGCTCCGTACAATCTACATTGAATAACAACTTGTTCTCTAGAAGGTATGTTGTATGCAAGAAATACATCATCATTCGGAAGAGAATTCCATATCTTAGTCACCTAAAAAGACAAAATATTATTCAAAATAAAATCTATAGCAGATCTAAAGTTAACAATTTAAAACTTTAAATTATTAGTTGAACAGGATACCAAAAGTACTTACACAAGCAAATAGTGGTAAATTAGTCACGTCTATGACATTCCAATCAACCAAGTTCTGAGACTTCCAATTACTTCCTTGACATTCTAGAACTACAAAACTGACAACCTGATCACTAACTGTGAGAGCGGTAAATTTTGTAATAGCCTGCAAGAGGGGGCGGAAAAAAAGGTATGTATTTTGGAAACGCAAACCAGAATGACAAAATTAGACAACAGCTGACTTACGCTGGGATCCTCAATTACAGGGCTTATTGAATTTTTTAAGCTTTTTAATTTACGATCCAATCTAATTCCTCTTTTTTTTACTAGTTTCTTTTCAGATTCTATATCAGGTTGGTCAGCTGACTCCAAAATTGCATAACACAATTTTACAGCATTTTTTGAACTTAGATCATATTTTTCTAATAAATCATTTATGTCTTCTAAAGGGCCAATTTCTGAGAATGATGTAAAAACTCGTTTAGGAATTGGAATTCCTTTAGGTCTGAGAAAAGAGAAGAAATTTCATTAAACCTTCAATAACAAGGTATTCATTAATCAATCTGTACAAAAAGGCTACATCAGCAATGGAACATTAGCATGTTTGCTGGGGGTAGGTTCTTTTAGACACCCCCACAGGAAGACCCCCCTATTTTAAAAAATATTTATTTTTTAAATAATAAAATATTTAAAAATATTAAAATGACTTGCTGGAGTGCAGGGGAAATTTTCATACCAGCTCTGACAGCGCCCTTAGCTAGTCGCATGCCCTACGGGATGACTTTAAAAACTGCTATTCTAATGTGGTCTGCTTTGTTTAAATACACATACTGATGCATGATTATTTCTGGCCCCTAGCTTCTCTCTCTCTCTCCTTTTCGTTTGCTTTGCTGCTACTTGTCCTTAATAATTAGCCACCTCACGCTGTTGCTTTGATGCTCATTTCATCTCCTCTAGTACTCACAACAAAGTTGTGTCATTTTTATCCTACATGGATGTTGTAAATCCCATGAATGAACGAAACAGTACTTAAGACAGACTCAACATGTCATGTGTCATAAGAACTGAATAAGAGAAGCTTCGAAGCAACAGCTTGAAACAGCAGGACAAATTCACACTTGTGTGTCCAGCAAAGTCAAAGTGATGTAAGCTTCATCGAGCAGTATCAAAATCCTCTTTCTAAATAAAACAAAGCAACCCAATGCAGAAGAGCAGTTGTTTAAGTCATCCTGCAGGGCGTAGGACCAGCTGAGAGCGGTCGGAGTTGGTATGAAAATTTGCTCTGCACTCCAGCAAGTAGTTTTAATATTTTTTAATATTTTATTATTTAAAAAATAATATTTTGAAAGATGTTTTTAAAAATAATAAAATATTAGGGGGAGTCTTCCTGTAGGGGGTCTACAAGAAGTTTCCCTATGCTGGCGACAAGAGTAGTGACCTAATAAATGGTCCACTAATCCTTTGGCCTCTTAATTTTACTTGACAGTGATATATTTAAAATAAAATTGAATAACAAGTGGACTTACTTTTGTTCCCTCTGAAGAATCTCATTGACGGAGTTTATGATTTTCTTTTGGTCATCTTCAGGGAAAAGCGTCCTCAGTCTCAACGATCTCGTAACATTAAAGTTTCTTGAGATGATGTTTAAATTCTACATACACACACAAAATAAATATTGATAAATTGATAAATAGTGATAAAATTTTGTAATTTTGTATTAGGTATTAATGTACATACTGTTTGTTCCCCATAAATATTTATTATTTTCCGACATAGAGCACCAACGGGTGGTGCCCTCAAACACGTCTGCTATAAGAATAAATACGTTTTGTTAAAAGATAAAGGAAATAATAAAAGCATTAAGTAGCTCTCTTAAAGACTTAAACAACGAAGTGAGAATTTGCAGCACTTTTTTGATTTCCTTGTGTCGGCTGCACCATGGGTTTTGATAGGTTAATTCCAACTAACGAATGTTGCAAACGACTCGCAACGATTTACTCACCACAGAGTGAAGAAAGGATATGTTAGCGCGAGAAAACATTATATTCCCTACGAATAATAGCACTGATAAACCTAACCTGATTGAAACAAAAAAGGTAAAAGAACAATTTTAACCGAGACAAGCTCAAATTCAAAACAAAACGTACAGATCATTGACTCCATGTTTACACTAGACAGCATAGCCAACATCGAAAGAAAACTAACACTAAAAAAATATACTTAAAAAACAAGGGGATCAGAAACAAAAGTCAAGAAACGGGAGAGAGAAAAAGGGGTTCTAATGAAAATACACTTGTAAGAATTTAACAAAAAAGTGGTTTTGTTTTTTGAGGGCTGTTTTCGAAATCAGCTGTGGAGCAACAAATCCCCTCCTCCTCCCCCCCACTCCCCCCACCCTACACACACTCACACTGCCAAAAAGTGCTTTGGTGGTGTAGTAGTAGTACTAGTGGTAATGTTCGAGCCGAGCCGAGAAGCGGACGGAAGAGGATACTTTGTTGGAATTCACACTCTCTTAGGGGTTAATCTCGGCGCCAAACAAATTCTCAACCTCAGTAAGTATCTCGTTGACGACTTTCTCTACCCATTTCGTGGTACTGTGGTCAATATTGCTGAAATGAAGATCTTTCTAACACAATGCCAACCGTAACCTTACTTTAGCGTCGGTGGCGGATAGTGCTGCCACCTACAGGATTATTTTGGAATGTCAAAGCGAGTCTTTCCTAGATTGTTGTTGTTGATCGGGAGTGTTTTGCTGTGTTGTGTTTTTGTCTTGTTATATATTTTGTTGAATGATGTTCGATTTCGTGGACACTTCTATACTACATGATCTACAGAGTAACTCACCATTGGAGTACAATACTGAAACTGCACAGTTTCAAAATGATAATGGTCTTTATTAAATTCAAAGCTCAAAGGGAATATTCTAATTGTTGGATCTTAGAAAATTATTAAATTCAAGGAGAATGTTTTAATCGTTGGATCTTGTGAAATTATTTCGCATTTAAACTAAAAGGCCGTATCTTTTAATGTAAAATCCCGTGCATCTTACGTTTTTGAGTCTGTACCCTTGGGGATGATTGTGGACAGCCCCCAGGGCACAAATATTTTTTTTGTTTTTGACCTACTTATGTGTGGATAAAACTCAACAGTGGTGGTGGTGGTCTACCGGCACCGGCCTACCGCCAACGCGCTTCGCGCATGCGCCGGTACATCGACCACCTATCTCCGATCGTCTTTTTGGGGGACTGTTCAGCAATCATGAGGTGTTTTTTTTCTTCCCTCATATTTGGTGGCATTGTTGCCTTTCCCCATCGACGCGGCGTTTTACTACCATTTAATTACTAAAATTGTCTGAAATCACTCTTTGAGCCCTAAAAATCAGTCGATGTCGCCCTGATTGTTGTCTTCGATGTGGATATTCGCATGCGGGTTTGCCTACCCGCCTCATCCGTTAGGTGCCATGGCCCTTAGGGTAGGCAAACCCGCCACACTGTTTTGTTGTGTTCGCACATTCGGGAAAGTCTGGGAAAAGTCAGTCAAGAAATCAGGGAAAGTTCGGGGCGGTCGGGGAAATCGGTCGCCCTGCTGTCAAGGAAAATGTAAAAATTTATGGGGCGGGGGGTGAAATACACGTGCAGATATTGTTGCCAAACGGAATGTTCAAGTATGGTCCGACCAGGTCGCGAATGAGCGCCGTTGGAATCCCTATGCTGCCTGTGCGTTTTCAGTCGCGACCTTGGTCTGAGGGTATAACATTTCTTGAACACGTTAGTTCTTAGGATAGTGTAAGCTCGGATTTGGTCAGCATCGAATAGATTGAGAGTCATTGTTTTGTGCTAGGGTTGTTACAGACCGTGAAAGTAATGGAAAGTCAGGAATTAAAAAATGGGTGAGGTACAGTCAGGGAAAGTCAGGAAAATTGAGAGAGCAGTCAGTAAAATTTCTCCGGTTGACTGCCTCCTCGCAAATGAATGAGTGAAAATGCGCAACATCATGACGCTCGACGGCACCCGCCGGGCCTTGCCGGCGCAACCAGTCGTCGCTTTTGTGCATACTCTTGTTTTCAGTGATATTTTCCCTCCGGTTGTTCGGGATACTGCCTACTTCCTTGTCTAAAAAGTCAGTAAAAATCGGGATTTTGGTCAGGGTAAAGTCAGTAAAATTGAAAATCCGGAACCTGTAACGACCATGCTTGATATAACATGGGAGCGTGAGCGTGAACACATTGTGGTCATGCTAATGTTAATTAAATACACTCGGGGGGGAGGGGTTACTTATTCCTGAAGCCTTTATATCTTCATACCCTTCAAATCAACGTCCGACATCAATGTCTCTTTGATGCCTAGTGATGCGTGTTTATTCTCATAAAAAAGTTACCCTGCTTAGCCTTAGTTACGGGCTTGTTTTGATGTAAAAGGAAAAGCCTAAACCATCCCGGTAAAGCTGAAATGATAAAGAATGCAGCTAGGGGAAAATGATAAAGAATGCAGGGGACAAGAAAACGAAAAATCACCATGGTGACTTCGCGGTTTTCTTCTTCTTCTTCTTCTTCTTCTTCTTCTTCTTCTTCTTCTTCTTCTTCTTCTTCTTCTCAGTTTAAACGGAATGGTTTATTTAGATTGGCTAACGTTTCGGGCTTTGACTCATCTTACAAGGTTTTCTGGTGGTATTGTCAGATTTTAAACTATACTTGTCAACAGCCGTCGACAAAATGTTTTAGCTAATTATTTGAAATTTCTCCAAATTTGTCGTTTGATTACTAACTTCACATGGCCAAATCTCCGGAACCGTAGCGACTATCATAACTCGGTACGTTTTGAACGAAATGAAATGCAGGGTCACGTGGTCGCGAAAACGGGTCCCGGAGGCAGGCTACGATGCTCACGATGATTTCGTTGCTTGTTGTCATTGAAAGTGCCCACTGGAAGATAATTTTTTGCAAAATCTGGGCGCTGTAGTCCAAACAGTTCCGGGGATATGTCCATGTAGAGATGAAAATTAGGTGATAAATAGGGATTTTGTCATTAAATTCGCACAAAACCTTGGGGATATGATGTAACAACCACAGTTTAAGTTCCAGGCGCGGATGAAGGGGGGGGGGCGATCGCCTCCCCCCCTGTCGTCTCTAGAGAGCCGCCTGAAAGGTAGGCAATTTGCACCAGAAAACCCCTGTAAGTAGGCAACCGACAGTGCATCGCCCCCCCCCCCCGGTCAACCGGACCTTAATCCGCCACTTTTAAGTTCCCTATGAAACGTTTCCTTTGAGAATGTCGCCACGGGAACGTGTCACCACCCAGCCAGCAATGACATGCCGTAACGACGTCATTTCAACGTCGTTGGTCAAACTAGAGGGCCAAAAAACGTCGAAACGATGAATGTTTTGACGAGTCGATGTCTATTCGATAAATTTCGATACGATGTTTCTGGCTGGGCATTATTGTGTTTATTCAAGCTCCGAACATGTTGTATTGATCTGGGGTAGACATATGATACGACTGTGAATTTCTATTGTAATTAGGAAAATGAACGTGCAGAGGGCAATGTTCAAACTATGGACCCGACTACTACACCCACTAGTACCGTACGACACAACAATATGCGGGTTTGCTTGCTCCCCGCTCACCCGTAAGGCTTTTTACGTCACGCTAGCTTTCTAAAGCTAAAATAAAAAGAAGTAGGGGCAAATAAGGCTGGACCAATCAGGAAAACCTTTATGATCTACCCGCCATTCCCTTCCTTTGTTAGGCGAAACACACTTTTCACCAGAAATTACACATTTTTCGTCCTATGATTCCCGCTCCCCAACAGAAAAACGTCTCAAAGATCGCACAGCTGTGCTACCTAGGTCATATTCAGGTGAACAATGACTCGTTTTCGGCCTATTTTAAGACCTGATATAGCCAGAGACGTTAAAACGATTTATCCGTGAAATTTTGCTGTTTATTGGTTGAGAATTGTATGTTGAAGTTCAAGAAAGGATTAAGATATACACATTAGAGGACCTGCACGTGTCCCGTGCGTATTAGGGTAGAACAAAAAATTTACAGAGGTGTCATTAAATTCTTTCTTTTAACATGATACTTCTAGTTATTCTACTATCAAGTGTTGTGATGCTCCAGAAGCAAGAAGATGGTAGCATGGGTGGCGCGATCTCATACAACACAAGAAAGCAAGAACCTGAAACCAAACCTTTTTATAGGACATTTAGCAAAGGTGCTGTGCTCATTCATTCCGAATGAGGTATTTTACGAATAAGAAGAACAGAAGGAATCCCGGCTTTTGGACCATAACAAGCCGCAGGTCGCTGGCGCATGACGTCACGATTTCTCGTGAACCTGATTCTTGTGGTTCTCAGCTTTAAAATGATGTAGAACAGTTATGACTTCTTTTCAGTATTAGCGAAGATACGCGAGAAACCGTGCGCTTGGTCATGGCTTTGCTATGGTCCGGGAGCAGACGTCGGCCGGGATTCCTCCTGTTCTTCTTATTCGCAAAATACCTCATTTCACCTTATTCGTCGAAAATGGAGTTTGATTAACAGGCGTTACTTGTTTTCTAGTACGAGGACGAAGCATACCGCTCAAGTAAGGAAATAAGATGGAGTCCCATTAGCCTTAGGCGAAGATGTCCGACCCTAGTAGCCCCCCTGCACATTGATAGTGGCCGAAATCCGTAATACAACGAGCCTAAACGGCAGACCAACTTTAAAAATCGATTTTCGGTCATTAAAAGTAAACGTTGACATCGATCTGTCAAGTTTTGTTCGAGGCTTATAAATTACTGGTTTATTTGCCCATTACTGAAAACTGCGTAGCATGTCGATCACTGCCGTGCCCGCGTGGCGGTATAGGAGACACTGCTGCTAGACACTGCAGCTGATCTAGCGCTGTGGTGCGGTTTTAGTCTGGCAGCCGAATCCGTGCCGTGCTGGCTCGCCAGGCGACGGACGGAGAAAGAGCCTCCTAGCGCCCCCCCCCCCCCTTCACTCCCCGCCAGCGCCGACGTGGTAGGGGGAGGGGGCCTGTGCTTGCCCATGGTCGCCCCTTCCCCGGGCGCTGCTGCGGAGCGATGGTCGACTGTCGCTTCAGGGGGTCGTCCGTAAATCGAAGCTGTATGCAATCGAGGAGCGAAAGATGTTTCACTCACCGCCTGACAATATCTG